CAGCAGCGATGTTCACTCCCTAGGCAACATCCTCTTCTAAATTTTCAGATTCAGGAAGTGCAGAGTGCTGCTGGGCAGTGGTGCTGCTAATTGGTTAAGAGTGATCAGCTAACGCTCTCAGCCAATCAGTGAATCTGCATTCACTAAACTGGCTTGGAAAGAAACATACCTTTTCCATGTGGTCTGCAACAAGGGTAGGTGGTACATGCAATATCCCAGTACACACTGCACATTACTGGGGGATCTGTAATATCCCAGTACACTCTGCACATTACTGGGGGGTGCTCTGTAATATCCCAGTACACTCTGCACATTACTGGGGACTCTGGATTATCCCAGTGCACAGTGCACAGTGCACATTACTGGGGGCTCTGTAATATCCCAGAACACACTGCACATTACTGGGACCTCAGTTATATCCAGGAACACACCACACATTACTTGGAGCCACATTTTAAGAGTTGCTTGCAGTGCTGGAAGCTAGCATTGCAAACAACTCTTTACCCTACAGGGTGATTGCAGTGTGAGTATGGTTAAATCCCTGCTCACACCTCTAACCCTACAATGGAACTGCAATGTTTTACATTGCATCAATAAGTGCAATAGGGACACAGCACCAAGACAACTTCAATGAGCTGAAGTGGTCTGGGTGCCTACAGTGTCCCTTTAAGCTAATTTGTTTTTCTGTCAAGCCATATTCAGATATGAAGAAACTGTTTCTGATATGTATGTATTTGATATGGCATTACATCAAATATAATAAAATTCAATCTGACAGATTACTTTAAGACACTTTTCTTCCTGGCCACCCTTTTCCTCCTATTTAACACTCCTTCCCTCATTCTTGGGGACTTTAATATCCCAATCTACAACCCTAACTGCCTTGATGCCTCTCATCTGCTCTCTATAACCTCCTCCATTGGACTCACACAGTGAGTGGTCTAATTCATCAACTCATAGAGCAGGAAACACTCTTGACTTCATCTTCACCAACCTCTGTACCACCTCTAATCTCTCCAATGTTTCATTTCCTCTATCTGACCACCATCTGCTGTCCATTGACATCCACATACCCCCTACCCATAAAACACCACCCTCACCACATCAGTCTTGCAGAAACCTCCATTGTCTTGACGTACAGCAATTCTCCACCAGCCTCCAAAGTCTCCTTTCACCCATCTCAAATATCAGCTTCCCTAACACTGCAACCTCCTTCTACAACTCCACTCTCTCCTCTCAACTAGACATCATGGCACCTCCTACACTGAAACACACTAGGTGCCCTCAATTACAGTCCTGGCACACCAAGCTCACCTGATACCTCCAAAAATGTTCCAAAACTGCTGAACACTGCTTCTGACTTCCTCCACTATAAATGTATGCTGCGCTCTTACAGTCTGGCTCTTTCCTCTTCAAAAAAAAACTACTTCAATACACTCATAACCACACTCTCCTGCGAGCCCAAATGACTGTTTCATGCTGTTAACTCTCTTCTTTGCCCTGTCGTGCCTCCTGCTCCTACCAACTTGACCGCCACAAACTTTGCAACTCACTTCTCTGAGAAGATTTCTACAATCAGAGAAGAGATCTCTCATCTCTCTCCATCACCTACCAATTTTTGCCCTAACCACATTCCCTCAGCTGTCCTATGTTCATTTGCACCCACTACAGTACAAGTGGTTTCTGCTCTTCTCCGTTCTTTCGCCCCACCACCTGTTCCCTCGATCCTATTCCCTATTCTCATCTGCACGTTGTCTCCTTCTCTTGCCCTGCCTCTCACTAAAATTTTTAAATCTCTCCATCTCCTCTGGCACATTTCCTCTTCCCTTTAAACATGCAACAGTAACCCCGATTCTGAAAAGCCCAAACTTGACCCTAATTCCCCGTCCAACTGCCTCCCTATCTTGCTACTGCCGTTTGTTTCCATGATCCTTGAGAGAGTTGTGTATGCGAGATTGACAGACTTCCTTGCATCCAACTCTCTGCTTGACCCGCTTCAATCTGGATTCTGTGCTCGTCACTCTGTTGAAACAGCTGTGACCAAAGTATACAATGATCTTATCTCTGCTTAATCCTATGGCCACTACTCTATCCTATTTCTCCTCGACCTTTCTGCTGCTTTTGACACTGTTGATCATCAACAGCTTCTGCTCATCCTCCTTAATCTCAATCTACGAGATACCACTCTTTCCTGGTGCTTTTCCTACCTCTCCCAGTGCTCATTCAGTGTTTCTTTCTCTGGCGCTGCCTCTTCTCCCCAATGCCTCTCTGTCAGTGTTCCCCAAGGATCCTTGGTCTCCTATTGTTATCAATCTACACTGTCTCCCTTGGTAAACTCATCAACTCATTTGGCTTCCAGTATAATTTCTCTGCAGATGACACGCAAATTTATCTGTCCTCCCTTGATTTCTCACCACCCCTTGTCTCTGACTGCCTTTCTGCTATTTCCAACTGGATGGCTGCTCATTTTCTTAAACTGAACCTGTCCAAAACAGAACTTCTGGTCTTCCCTCCCTCAAGTTTTGCTACTCCCTTGTCTGTGTCCCTCCAAGTCAATAGCGCTAACCATCCGCTCTACCTCTAAGACTCGCTGCCCAAGTGTTCTCTTTGACTCCCACCTCTTCTTCAGCCTTCGCCAAATCCTACTGTTTCCATCTCAAAAACATTGCGCGCATCCGACCCTATTTAATGCCTGATACGGCAAAGGTGCCTGTCCATGCCTCTGTCCTCTCTTGCCTTGACTACTGTAATCCCCTTCTCAGTGGTCTTACATGTTTCCAACTTGCCCTGTTACAGTCTATAATGAATGCGGTGGTGAGGCTCATCTTCTTTTTTTTTTTTTTTCGTCAATCATTGTTTTATTTCCAGTTTGAAAAGTAACATTGACAACAGTGCTGTTAGCGAATTAAACAGGAAGTTAAAGTATTCGAGGTTGTCTCGATAAACATAACAGTCTGCACTAGGCAGGCAACGCGGTTCAACAGTAAAACATGTGAACAAGTCCTTTTTATTATGCATTCATGTAGGAATATCTGTACCTTGGAAGGACAGGTGAACCAGGGTCATCTCCTCGGTCACCCTCGTTTGTCTCCCTACGCTTGCACCTTAGTGCTGAGGGCTAGTGTGGGCTGTCCACCCTTTTCTGTTTACACTTCCCCAGCCTAACCCCCCTGTCCCACATGTTATTCAGCTTTCAGCTGTTTGTCCTTGCTTCTTGTCTAACTACACGTCATGAAGCGGGTAGGGGTCGGTAGGTCTCTACCTATGTGTTCGAATCTGTTAGGGCGGTAGCCAGTGGTTACCCCAAGGTTGGGGTCCTCGTGAGAAGTCCCCCATCTCTGTTTGTGCGTGTTCTACGTCGTGTTTTATGGGGATCTGGAACAGCAAAGTTTTCCGCTCACTTAGTCTGGGCCTTTGAGGTGCGTTAGGTGGCCGCCTTTCCCAGGTCTGGTACGTCAGTGTTTAGATAGCTGGGTCACAGTGTCCTGTGGTCCATTATGCCTCTTTGTCGCAGCTCTGTTGCCTCTGCTTGTCTGACTAGGATTTTACCCCCCGTCTCGCTCCCTCCCTGATTCGTCGTCTAATGATCTGTCGGGAGTTGCTTCCCGGATGGTTTGTGTCTAGATAAATGTGTATTTGTGTGTGTAGGGGACAGAGGAAAGATGGGGGGGGCGAGCGTGTGCTTGTGTCCGTTCCCTGTGTGGCCTGAATGTGAGAGAGAGCATGGGTTGGGAAAGTGGGAGAGGGTTAAAGGGTAGGGGGGGTGAAGAGAGACCTCCTCAGTGTCGTGCTCGCTGTGTCGGCACAACCCGTCCTCCTCAGAGTCTCCTCTGCCAAGAGTGTGTCCGCCGTTCCTCTGGGGGTCGCTGCCACGTCACTATATATATTTACTTGTGATTCCTGTGGGGGTCATGCAGAAGCTCCATATTCCTGGTGTCTACGCCGTTCTGCCCAAGATAAATTCGAGCCAAGGAGTCCAGGTCTGTAGATAGCGTTCCGTTGTTCCCCGCAGTGAGGCTGTAAGCTGTTCCATGCCATGGATCTCCTCTACTTTCTCCATCCATTGTTGCAGCGTGGGGATTTGCGTGGTCCGCCAGCGGATCGGGATAAGCAATTTAGCTGCATTGAGGAGTTGTTTCGTGAGTGATTTTTTATACCTCGAGAGAGGCATATCAGTGTGATGGAGGAGCATTTGCATTGGCTGGAAAGGGAGGTCCGAGTCCGCAATGTTTTTTATCTGCGTATGAATTTGTTTCCAGAATGGGGCGATGTGTCCGCAGGACCACCAAATATGGAGGTCCGAGCCAACCTCTGACTCACATCTCCAGCATAAGTCCGGGATTTCCGGTAGCATTCGATGTAGGCGCTCTGGCGTTCTATACCATCCCGTTAGCAGTTTGTAGTTCAGTTCTTGGTGTTTAGAACTCAATGTGCCCTGATGTGTCAGTATGTGGATCTTGTCCCATTGGGGGTCGGTGAGTACCGTACCCGTGGCCTCCTCCCATCTCGCCAGGTGTTTCAGGGGTGTATGTTGGGTAGAGGTTTGTAGCAGAGCGTACATGGTAGATACTCCTCGGTGTAGCGGTGTGAGGCTCATCTTCTTGTCCACCTGCACCTCCCACCCCGGTCCCCTTTGTCAGTCCATACATTGGCTTCCTGTAAGATATAGGACTCTATTTAAGATCCTGATACTTGCTTACAAATCTCTACACAATGCTGCTCCGACCTACTTATCCTCACTAATACACAAATATGTCCCATATGGGCCCTACGCTCTTCCGGAGACCTAAGTCTAACCTCTGTTTGTACTCCTACCCCTGATGCTCGCCTTAAAGACCATTCCTATGGAATGTCCTTCCCCTCTCTGTTAGACTTTCACCCAATCTCCACTCCTTCAAAAAATCTTCGAAAACTCACTTCTTAAGGAAAGCATATCATTTAAACTGTGAACAGCTTTCCCTCTCCGCACCCTGATTCCTCTCATGAAACTGTCATCAAAACAAAACACTAAGCCCTCAATGAATATTATCCTAGCAACCTACTTTTCTACCCTATCCTTACCTTTTGTGTCACTATACCCCACTCCCTCTAGCATGTAAGCTCATTGAGCAGGGCCCTCAATCCCTCTGTTCCTGTGCGCCCAACTTGTCTGGTTACAAATACGTGTCTGTTAGTCCACCCATTGTACAGCGCTACGGAACTTGTTGGCGCTTTATAAATAATAATAATTAAAGTGTCCTTGCTTTGTTGTATGTAAACAGAATGTTAAGTAAAATGGCTAAATACAACATAGGTATCCTATTGCCAATCTAGAGTAACCATTACAAGTTTGCAAGCTAATCACAAGCAAGTTTCTATTCATTTTGTGTGAAAAGCTGTATAAAAGTCCTATGCACAGCAGATTTCATTGGATTGATGTACATGGCCCGATGACAAAGATACATATGGTTTGATCTCTTATCACCCTGGTGAGACACATCATCTCACTCTGTAACTAAAATGTATATGCATTTGTCATTTTTATGAGAAACATCTGTTTATCTTACAGGGGACCTCATGTCATTATTATATATCCCAACATTTCATTGGGACAGGTAAATGGAAATGTCCATCATTTTCTTATAGTGCCTTCTGTCGGATAGAGTCACGTTTTGTGTTGTATTACTGGAATTATAGTCACTAAGCTATGCATTTACAACTGAAAATGTGGCTGTTAAAATATGACACTTTTTTGTTCAACATGTTTAATAGTCTTTATAATTACTCATAACTTAAAAAGGGACACTCCAGACCCCTAAAGCACTTCAGCTTGCTGAAATGCTTTATCTTTAAAGAGTGTGTCCTATTTTTCTCATTTGAAATTTACACATTAATAAACCTTGTTACAACCCCCAGGCATTCAAACAGACAGCATGTCCTGTTACTTCCTGGTTTGGTTAGCTTATTTGCACTGAACTCAAGAGGCAGCAATTGCCCAGAGCACCTGCCTTGCATGACTTGTTTGTGAGCTGAATTGGGACAGCCTCAGGGGTGGGCTTGCAACGGCTGCAGACAATCGATTTATTTTTAGATGTACCCCAATTAGAAAATACATAATTATTATTGGGGAAAATCTACTAAACTGTGATTTTAACGGAACACTCCAGTCTTTCTTTCTCTCTTTCTTTCTCTCTCTCTCTCTTTCTCTCTCTCTCTCTCTCTCTATATATATATATATATATTGATATATATATATATATATATATATATATATATATATATATATACTGGAAGTAGTAATTCATACATAGGATATGTAATAAAGAATAATAGCTGTATTCTGTTCTTAGGTTTATGACTACAAAGGAAAATGATTGAGGAAAACATTTATGGGCAAACAAGTATTCTTTTACCTGTCCATCAGTACTATAAACTGACCAGGTGGCATTGACCTCTAATATTGGTTTATAAATGTGTTCCATCGGTCGCATATTTGGTGGTTGTGCACAATGATTGCATCCTCTGGAAAGCAGTCCATGAGGAAATAATCCGGGAACTGGGAGAGAGTCCTTTACTGGATCTGGAATTTATGCTGCTCTACTTTTTACCCCTACCAGTTTAGAAATACAAATAATCTCTTACAAGACATCTATTCAATGCAGCCAAGGCCATTATAACAACCTTGGCTGCTCCCACCCTCTGGCAGTGGCAATCAAATGTAGATAAGATATATGAAATGGAGTCTCTAAAAGCAGCAGTAGATGACAGGTCTAAAAGGTGTACCCAGCTATGTATGCTGTTGCTTCAGTATATGTCTACAGACACCCCATGAATCTAGCTTTCTTCATCCCTTTCTTCTGCTTTTTGCTGGAGGGGCCCTGCCCTGTGACTTACTTCGATAGGAGGCCTTGGACCAGTCTTAATTGTTGCCCTCTTTAGGCTGTCTCCTACTTATGGTAAACTTAATTTATGTGTGTGAAAGACACAAATAAAAGGGGGTTTGTATTTGTGACTAAGTGACTAAACCAAACATCTCAAAATATGCCATTTGTTATACTCTGGGTTTCCTACTTTTTATGCCATAATGGTGGAAATGTTACTACCAAAGCTGACATACCCTCTCAAATGCGACATAGGCCCAGAAAATCACTTTGACAAATTTCCAATTTGAAATGGCAATCTGATATAGTTGGCCCTGTGACTACTCAAAAAAATAATGGAAAACCAGTACATGGGGGTATTGTTATATTTAGGAGACAATGTTAAATCACAATACTGAGGTTTTAATTCACTAAGTTATATCTGGAATATGTAATGGCTTGTGAAAACAAAGTTTATGTGTGTGAAAAAGTATAATCAAATGAGGCCTGCATATGTGATAAAATGATTCGATCAAATATCTCAAAATACACCATTAACACAATCAGGTCAGCCTTTAACTCAATCATGCAGGCCTGCCCACCGAGGACAGGACATTCATGGAGCACTGCTCCAGTGCTCCCTGAAGGATTCAAATGCCCTAATCATAGCGCGAGTGAGTCTTATGATGCACCCATGCTTTAATTGTTAGGGGCAGTTTCTTGGTGTCCCCAAAAGCATGACAGCAGGGAACTAAGGATGGACTGCAGGACAGGACATGAAAATCGTGACTGTCCTGATGAATTTGGGATGGTTGAGAGTATGTAAAACTATAACCACTAAATGGGGCCTGTATTTGTGGTAAAATGGCTACACCAAACATCTCAAAATATGCTTTTTGGAATACTCTGGGTTGCTTACTTTTGAAAATGGTATGCCATAATAGTGAAGATGTTATTACCCAAGCTGCTGTACTCTTTCAAAGGCATTGAGAATCATTTGGTCAAATTTACAGGTATAAATATTGAAATGGGCAAGCCATATATTTGACCCTGTAACTTTCCCAAACCCTTTAAAACATTTACATGGGGTACTGTTGTACACATGAGGCATAAGTGGACACAAATATGAGTGTTTTAGAGCAGTAAAATATATAATGACAATGATATCATTAGTGAAAATGTAGTTTGTGTGTGAAAAATGCAAAAAACTATTATAAACTAACTTTGGCTAGGGTTTGTGACTGAGTGACTACTACAAAAGATTGGAATAACCAATTTTGAATACCCTGGGTTTTCTAATTTTACAAATGGTATGCCATGATGGGGGTAATTCTCATTTCTCAGCTGCCATACGGTCTCAAAGGCAACACAGGCCTAGCAAACAAATCTGGCAAATTTCAATGTGTATAAATTGAAAATGGGAAATTCCTATATTTGACCCTGTAACTTTCCAAAACACCATTAAAAACCTGTACATAAGGAATGCTGTTGTAATTGTGAGACATACCCGAACACAAATATGTGTATTTTATTGCAGTAAATATGAATAGTATTGACATTCATAGTGAAAATGCCATGCAGACCTTTTACAATAATTTTCATACTCTTTTATATTTTTTCATATTAAATATGTCCCATATATAAATATTTGATGTGAAATAAAAGCCTGATTTTTTGTGAACAAAGTGATATATAATAGGTGTGGGTGCATATGAAAGAGGTAAATTACGATTGAACAGACATATAGATCAAATTCCAGGATTTATTTTAGTCAGTACTTGTACAATAGCCTCTTTAATTAAGGGGTTACATAATAAAATATATTTAATACAAATAAAGAATTTTAAAAATGTATCCAAAAATATTAAAAGTATTAAATGATTTGGAAAGCTTATCCAACAATATTAAATTAAGTTCTGAGTGGCTATTTACATTTACATATTGCGGCATGAAAAAGACAAGGAAACAAATTCAATCTTGCACTTTTCTCTCAAATACTACAATACAAGATGCAGATTACGGGGAGACCCAATGGTAGTGCATCTCCTAATAAAGTTGATTATCATACAAATACCCTCACTGTGCTGTCTTGTTGAAGGCTAGTTTTTCCAACTGTCACATACTTAGGCCATGATGTTTAAAGCCCTAAATCTTTCACCCACCTAAAACAAAGTCCTAGACATCTTTTTTGGGGGGGGACTCCCTGTCCATGTGTGTAATATTCAAAAATAATTCTATTTATACTGCCACAAGTCAAAAGTGTTTGCTTCTAATAGGATCAGATTGGATACCTTGGGTAACCCAAGGTAAGTTGTCAAATTGTTCACAAACATTGAAATACCAGTATTGCTGCAGTCTCTCCAAATTCAAAAATCCCGCCAGAAACACGATCTACGCGTTTCGCTCATTCAAACGAGCTTTCTCAAGATCCACGATCTACGCGTTTCGCTCATTCAAACAAGAAAGCTCGTTTGAATGAGCGAAACGCGTAGATCGTGTTTCTGGAGGGATTTTTGAATTTGGAGAGACTGCAGCAATACTGGTTAGTTGGCGTCTCAGTGAGGATCGATCCGAGTGCACAGGACTGGTCTGGAATTTACATCCACGGAGCGGTAACTCTATATTCACCAACCAATATTCTGCATTTCTACGCTTTTATTGTGAACCTTGGAAATAAGTTTCACCACTTTTAATTGTAAGAGTTCCTCTTATGGGGGGATTACCGTATGGGAAATAAAGTATTGTAACTGTATCACGCTATGTCAGTATCTTTTTGATTAAAGGTTGGATACATATAAAGACAAAGTCTTTTTACATCAATTACTGTTACAACTATCAAATCCCTGCGGACATTTGAAAGCACCCCATGAAGATTGAAACTGTGACTCTTTATTTAATTTATTTAATATATTTTTGTTGTTGACCCATATACAAAAAATAGGGGTATATTAACTAAGCGCTGATACTGTTTTTATTTCAAGATACACAAGATACTGTGTATACTAAAATGACTGCCAGGAAAAACCTTAAAGCAAATTAAAAAAACAGAACTGAAAACAGACAAAAACAGTGTAAGACGCCTAGAACAAACACTAGGGAAACAGAAGAGAGTGGATAAAAAGTAGATTTCTACCAAATTAAGCTGAAAATTAAACATAAAAATAATTCAATATAAATTTCCCCAGTCCTGTATTTTTTTTTATCTTTATGCATTATTTATTAATCATATGTGTTTTCTCAGCAGCACATCCTTTTTGTAATAAATTATATTATCTAAAGGTCCATGCACAATAATTGCTAGTCTTTTCTTAAATTTCTCTGTCCTTGGCATTTAAAAAAAAAAAGTGTGAAGGAGAGAGAATTATTAT